AAAAAAAAGAAGAAAGAAAACAAATAACAAAATTAATTAAGAGAGGTAGAAATTGCTTTTTGGAAACCAACGAACTTGTTTCTTTATATCAAGATGAATATAGAGAGAGTTGTTATCAAAAAGAAACACTTAAAAAATACATAAACCGAGAAAAAAAGAAGAGGCGTCTAGAAAAGTAAAATGTATTTTGGATGGTAATGATTATTGGATTTACGAAGATGAATAATTGTTTATATTTTCATCATTAGAAAAAATAAAAATATTAAAAGGAAGAGAAATAACTTATTTATGTCTGGACGGAACATTTTCTTCTGCTCCTAATGAATGGTATCAATTATATACTATACATTGTGTTCTATAAAATGGAGTTTGTTTTCCTTTGTTTCACTGTTTAATGAAAAGCAAATCAGAATCATTAAATACAGAAATGTTCGATGTAATAGAGTCATATTATTTCCAAACGTTTGATTTTCACCTATTTTCACCAAAAACCAGTGTAATGTTGGATTTTGAGGTAGCCGTGTTAAACACTTTAAAGAAGTACGGGTGTCTTTGTCATGGTTGCTATTTTCACTTTGCCAAATTTTATGACGAAAAATAAATGAATTGGGAATGAAATCGTATTATTTTCTTGGAAGTTTTATATGGAAAACAGCCAAAAAAATTAATGGTTATACCATTTTTTAAACCAAGAGATATAATTACACAATTTGAAATAGTAAAAAATGATATTGTAATAACACTTGAATTAGAAAAGTGTGATCCATTTTTTAAAAAAATAATATTTTAGCATTTGTTGACTATTTTGAAATGAATTGGATGTGGAAATGGCCATTGCCTTTGTGGTGCCAGTACAAACAGTCGTTGAGAACAGATAATATTAGTGAGAGTTATCACTCAGCTCTTGTTAAAAGACTGTCTTCAAAAAAGCCGTCTTTTGAAGTGCTGTTATTGAAATTGGTATCAATTGAAATTGAAGCAATTAGAGTTGTTAAAGAAATGAGCCAATGCCCATCAAAAAACACCAAAAGTGTAATTAAAAACAAATCAATTTTTGCAACAACCACTTCGTTTTATTCCAATTCGATCACAAGTGAAGAATTTTACCAAGCTATTATGAAAGTACAGACCAGAGAAAACTTGGAATTATCTTTCGAAAAGGCTGTGGTCGAAGAATGTGTTCTTGGAGATTGGAATATTGAAGAAATAAACATCGAAGATGTTGGTTTTGTAGAAGATCATTTGAGAAATCGAACAACAGATAGTAAACAAGTAATAAATGATGATAATGAGGCGATTGAAGGAGAGTTTGAAAATAATCCACGTGATGATCAGGAACTAGGAGAAACATTAAATATTGAAATTGATAGTTCCGAAATAGTAAACAAAGTAAAAACAATAAATAAAATAAAACAACAAAATGTCCACACGAAACTGATTCTAAAAACCAAAAACGAAAGAACTTATTTATGACAAATATGTAAAAACAACGACTATAAAAAACAAGAAAGATGATGGTGATTGGATATGTCCATCTTGTAGAAAACAACCTGGGTGTGTTCTTAAAAAGAAACGTTCGAAAATATATAAACAATAACATTTATTAATTAATTTACAAATAAATTCGTTATTAAATTATTTTAAGTATAATTTAATAAAAATAACATAATAAACAATGTATTTTTTGTCTATAAAAACATTAAATATAATAGAAAAATATATTTGATAAATAAAATCAACAATGATACTTTTATGAGTTTAAGTGAATTAAGTTTAATTCGATAATAAATATATATCTATTATTGAAAAAAAATAATTGTTGTAATTAAATATTTATAATAATTAATATTGAACTTTTTTTGAAATAATTATTTTGTTCCTTAGTATTTTATCCAGAGTATTATAACTTGATTATATTATCACGCAATCGAAAGTTAGAGCCTCTGTTATACTCTTTTCATTGTGTTCTTTCTCATCTACTTCACCAAGGAATTGTGAGACTAACTCACTAAAGTTCTCACCACCTTTGCTTTGTTATTTGATATGATCTTGTTGTCTACCAATTTCAGACTGATTTAATCGATGGAAATGTTTCTCAACCCAGAAAACTTTGATGAAGTTATTTTTTTGCTGCGCTTTGTGCTTCTTTATTTTTAATCAGTTTCTGTTGGTAATTTTTTGAATTTATAATACATTTAGAATAGTTTAATTATCATGGAAAAGTTATAAAAGCATTTAAACCAAAAAACCAGGCGTCTACATTTTTACTCGAAAATAGCCAAGTCATCAATTATTTACTATTTAAATATATATTCGAAAAACCTTTTAATATTATCTTTTTGTTCATTAAACAAATTATTCTAAACAATCAAATAAGTCATCATGATTTTATTTTTTCAAAAAAATTACCTTAAATAACCAAAAAATAAAACAGAAAAAAAATTCAATTGTGCTACTCTCAACTCTTAGGTAGGCTCACAAAACTCCGAGCAGTTTCTTTTCCGAACTATCTTTTGTCTCCATTTACGGTTTCACGAACTGAGCTATGCAGTGAGTGTTCACTTTCAAAGGATGCCTTACCAAAAAATTAAGCAATCAACAAGTTTAAATTTTAATGGTTATGATATTATCATGTCCATATTTTCAAAAAAATAAAATGTAATTTTTATAATTTTTAACAATTCACATTTTAATTTTTCACAATTTTATCAATTTTCTAATTAATAATTATTTTGTAAGTTGTTTACCAACTCAATTCATATTTTAATATAACATATTTGATCATGTATAATATAAC